GATAGTCTATATAGTAGAGGTAATCCTTCCCTTAACTCTTATGGTCAAGAGGACCCGAACTCGAGATTTTCTACTTCTCACACTAGTGAAACGATAAATCAGACCATATTTAATTGGCAAAAGAGATAGTCTATATAATAGAGGTAATCATTCCCTTAATTCTTATTGTCGAGAGGACCCGAACTCGAGATCTTCTACTTCTCACACTAGTAAAAAGATAAATTAGACTGTATTTAATTGGCAAAAGATAAGGATAAATTTAAAAAGAATAGATAAAAAAAAGAATGGAATGAGTGCAATTAGAATGATAATTTTATAGATTAACTTTAATTTTGTTCTAAAGCATTACATCCAAGTTGAAAATGTATTGGACATCTCAAATCTTTCCCAAAAAGGCCATTAAGAAAAGATAATACCAAACCTCAAAAATAGTAATTAATTAAAATAAAATGCTAGCTATAAGAAATGGCTCACAACCTACAAAAACATCATCTTGATAAGACATTCTCATTCCCATCCACATCACCCTCACATAGTAAATTCTTTTTTCTTTTTTTTTTTTTTTATTGCAATATATATGATTTTAAAATATAAATCCAAGAGCAAGGGATTATATTCATGGTACAAGTATATATTAAAAAGCAATATTCTTCTAGTGAATAGTTACTACTCAAGAAGTCACAAAGTATATATTTGCTTCTCTATGGGAAGAAGGAATATAGGCTGATCTGTCTATATATGGGAGTGCAAGTGCTATTCTTCTTGAAAGAATATATTCATTATGTTCCAAAATATAAATCGTTTAAGATTTTTACACGGATATTAAGAAAATAATTAATTCTTTTAAATTATAACAAAATCAAAATAATTTAATTAGATTATCCTTTATCTCAAAACTAAAAATAAACTTATGAAGATATTTATTGTATTTAATATAAATAAGACTAATATTGAAAAATATAATTTATAACTTTTTAAAAATACTCAAATCAACTTATATATTGAGACGAAATAATCAATTTAAAAGAAGAATTAGAGAAACATATGAAAATTAAAATTTCCACATTCCTTCACTTAAAAGGTTTGATTTAATTAAATTGAAGGGAAAGCAACATTCTTGATTTTCTTGTTGAAATCTTGAAGTGGGAAAATTTTGCTTTAAGATGGAAAATTTTTGTGATGTTAAATTCATCCAATAAACCAATATGGGTAGGAAAAATGCCATTATACTTTGTTTTCTGAATCTTAATAATGATAAATTGATTAGGACTAAGTATTTCTTTATCAATGAGATGGAAATATTTTCTTGAATTGGTGAATGAACTATATATGTGCTTTTCTTCTTTTTTTGACTTTCTTTGGTCCACATTCAAAGAGTTGATCCAATTAAAATTACCACAAACATTCTTTGGAGTAAAGGAACAAAGAATAATTAAGAAGAACAAGATTAAAAATCTATAATTTCAATTATTTAAGAAAATATTTATTAATGATGGAATCATTCTAGGCTAGGAAAAAATTGTTTCTTGTTGAAATTATCTTCAACTATTTATCTTGAATTATTCCACTTGACAAAAATAATCATTATATTAAGTGGTAAATGGGTTCACTTTGCTTTATTGATTATAATTTTTTACTTATAATTATATAGTTAGGCGGCAAAAAGAAATATTATTGAATTTTAAATTTTTACTTTAATTAAGATTTATATTGAATTAAATATATATAAAAAAAATTTAATAGAATATGTGAATATGGGATGTGACAAGTGTTCTTGTTCCTCAAAAGAGACTTGTCATGGTTTTGCTTAATCATGTATCCATTTGGACAGTCTTATGAATATTTGAAGCATAAAATGAAAGATGGAATAATAAAAATAAAAAAAAATCCGAATGGACTAACTCGGTGGTAAAAAGCACTTGCAGGATTGATTATTATAGCTTAGATCATGAGTTCTACATCTGCAACGCAAACTTTCTCCGACTAGCCCCTTTGTCTCTAAAGGGATTAGTCAGATTTACTTTGAACCGTTATAACAGATACAGACTTGAATACTTCGATCGCGCAAGTATAAAAAAAGCAATAAAAAAACATTCCTTTTTATTCAAACTTCCCTTTCACCTTTAGCAAGTAGTTGGTCCTTTCCTTTGATTCTAAACCCATCAACAAGCCAAATCCTGGATTCAAAGATGCATTATTATGGTGGCTTGAAAAAGAGAAAAATTATCATTAAAGAGAGATCAGAAAATTGCCAAGTTGCTATGAAGCTAAGTTATGAATATGAAAGATGTAATATGGACATATAGCATATGCCCATTCAGTTGGCTTTGATTGTGGCAATATGCTGGCAATAATGGAATAAAAGAAAGAAAATTTTAAAGAATCCAATTTTGTTCTGCTAAATTTTCTGCCACTTGGCACAAAGTTTAAGGGGTTATTTACTTGTAAAAAATTAAAACAGCTTTTTTTTTAAAAAAGTTTTCTACGAAAACCGGAATATCCAATTTTTTGTTAAAGTCAGTCAGTTTTCTATTCAAAATTTAAAAATTTTTTTTACAAATTTTTCGTGTATGAAATTTAGGATTCCCCCATAATTGTTTAAAAAAGTGTTTTTTTTTTTTTTTTTTTAACCTAAGTTGGAATAGTAAGTTTCCCTCATAATAGTATGTTCTGGCAAGAAAAATAAAACAAAAAAAAAAAAATTCAAAATTGAAATGGGGTCTTGAGGCTATTGAAGCTTCTATCATGAAAAGAAGAAAAGATAATGATGAATTGATGATAAAAAAAAAAAAAAAAAAAAAAAAAAAATTTTTGAAGCTAAGTTTATGAAATAATCGAAAGATGTAATATTGGAGCATTAAGGCCATATGCCCATTTCAGTTGGCTTTGATTGTGGCAATATGCTGGCAGATAATGGAATAAAAGGAAAATTAAAAAGGGAATTCCAAACTTTTTGTTCTGCTAAAAGTTTTCTGGCACTTGGCAAAGTAAGGGGGTTATTTACTTGTAAAACATTAAAACCGCTTTTTTTTTTAAAAAAGTTTCTACGTAAAAACCGGGAATATCCATTTTTTGTTCAAAGTCAGTACAGTTTTCTATACAATAATTTAAAAATTTTTTTTACAAATTTTTTCGGTATGAAATTTTAGGAATTCCCCCATAATTGTTTAAAAAAGTTTTTTTTTTTTTTTTTTTTTTAACCTAAGTTGGAATAGTAAGTTTCCCTCATATAGTGATTTCTCGGCAAGAAAAATAAGAACCAAAAAAAAAAAACTCAAATGAAGAATGGGTCTTTGAGGCTATTAACTTCTATCATGACAAAGCAAGAAAAGATAATGATGAATGATGATAAAAAAAAAAAAAAAAAAAAAAAAAAAAAAAAGAAATTTTCTAAATCATATGGACATGGCATTTTCACATGAATCACAATCACAAAACAGTACACAATTCACAAATTGATATGACACGTTTGTCCAAATCACAATATCCTCTTCTCTCGTCATTCATATGTATGCTCTCAATGATCACTAATGATGGTGTTGAATGATTCTCGAGTTGGTTTTTACTATTAGCCGCAAGTCCAAGAAATGGATCAATGTGCTTTCATATTCCAAAGTCCAATAATTTCATATGACTCTAAAACTATTTATCTAATGAAGTTATGCAACTTTACCAAACAAAGTCCTTACATACGACTCTCTAACTTCTAGTACCCTATTTCCTAAGCCGTTGGGGTTGGAGGGGAAATTGCATTGGTCAAGTTCTAAGGCTTTCCTATTTTCATACATGTAATGATGCTCTTTAATGGGTTGTCTTTGAAATTTTGGTCATATGATTAGAGTATGTAATAAGTTTTTTTTTTTTTTTTTTTTTTTTTTTTTTTTTTTTTTTTTTCTTTTTATCACCAAGAGTTTCCTCCCACCTTTCGGTTAAATAGATATATGGGAGAAATGATAATTTTTTTTTTTTTTTTTTTTTTTTTTTTTTTTTTTTATCATCAAGAGTTTCCTCCCACCTTTCGGTTAGATAGATGAATGGAGAAATGATAATGTTTAAAAGCTTTTTTTAAGATGTTAACTCCACGACTCGATTATGCGATCACTAAGGTGAAATCTAGTGCACTTTAACTATTGCACCAAGCTATCTTAGATTACAGACTGCGTTCGATAACAACTTCTTAGATAGCTTTTAGCGTTTTGACTGATTATTTTTTTATAATATTTAGTAATATATCGCTTGAACTCGTTTTTAAAGATTAATGTAATGTTTTATAAAAAATTAACCTATGTAACATTTAACTTTTAGTGTTTTATGAAAAATTACTGAAACGGCTATAAGCTATCAAAACAGCTAATTTCAACCGACTGAACCATATTCATTTTATTGATTGCTCTATCATATGGAAGCTTCTGCTTCTAGCTCAGTAAATAGTGGTAATGTCAATTCCATCTCTATGCTTATCTCACAGAAATTTGGAAATCTTGACTGAGAAAAGGTCTTGTTGACATTATTTTGGTTTTGAATTTTTTTGATTTTTTCTGTCCATACCCATTGTGTCATTCCTTTCACATCCTTTTCTTACGCAGATGTACACATAGGTGCCATCCACTATGTTATTTTAATATGTGAAAAGACAGTATTGGCCTTTGTTTTGGTTAATTTATCTCCCACGTGCTAATTCAATCTAATTTGCTTAATAATCAAGTGTTTATCTAATATAAAAAACCATGAATCAAAAATAATTAATATACTCATATTTTTTTAAGAATTGTTAATATATTAAATAAAAATGAATAGTTTTAAAATGAAGAAATTGTAATTTTTTCATATAATATTTCCTAAGTTTCACTTGTAATTATATGGTGAATTAATTCAAATTTAATTAATCAATATTCATACAAATATTTAAGATATATTTTTTATTTATGGCTTGATTTTCTTTTTATAGAAACTAACAAAATTTTATTTTAGTTTTAATCGAATGAATTAGAACTCAAGACTTGATATTTAAAATAATTTTATTAATCATGAGAATGATTTTATTATTCTTCGATATTTCACATGCTTATTCTACGTAATAACAAACTAATACAAATAAAACTAACTAATTGGGATTGATCTTCCGAGCACCGCGGGCAGGCGGGCGGGCGGCGGCGTTGATTGCCATTTTCATATTACTTTGACAATTGTCAGGATTACTTGATATGAAATAATTTGGTCCAAAACGAAGCTGGATTTTATCGTATCCTGATTCATATACGGTAGCGTTTGGTGTAACTGTGCACGTTTCAAATCCTTTTCTATCCACCACAACCACATCAGTGTCCTGATAATCGTACTTGAACACTGCAATATAGCAAGTTATTTAATTAGTTTAAATCTGAAATTCAAAGGCTATGGCTCCGTTTGTTTTCGGGGAAAATCCAGATTTTCCAATGTTTGAAACAAAGGAAAAATTATCATATTTTTTTATTTTTAAAAGAGTAAAATATTTTTTAATACTGTCGATAAAAATTATAATAATCTTATAAATACACGTTTATTAGGGCCGGAGAAGAGGACCACCTCAAGAAATTTTCTTTTAAAAAATTTTTTTTATAAACAATTACATTTTGATCCTTAAAATATAAGAAAAATTATATTTGTCCTTCTAAAATAATTGTCCTAGCTCCGCCCTGCTAGTCACCATTATCGATCACCTCTACTCAAGTCTAGCCACCATTATCTATCAGCCCTGTTCACGTCTTATAAATTAAAGGCTTTAATATGTTTAATTAATTTTTAATACTGCAAAAATGAGTTATTTAAAAATATATATTTTTCAAAAATAAATTATTTATTGAAAACTATCGGAGCAATATTGCTATCAAAATTTATACATACCAAGTATATCACCAGCATAAAATTTTTTTCCTTTAGCCCAAGCTTCCATACTTATAGTAATTGACCAACCGTAGCCATCTCCAACAGTATAGGTAGCCGGAGGCTTCGCCCCATGGCTGCTCTTGCAATGAAGCACCAAGATTGCCATCAGCATCAAAATAGCAAGAATTACTCCTTCTCTTGCCATAGCCAAACTTGTTTTTATCATATTTTGGTATTTGGTACTATATATATCTATATATATATATATAAGAAGGCGGAAAAAGTTACCTAGACGGGTCCATAGTTTTACTTATGGATTAAACCAATAAATGGTATTTCTGACCATAAATGGGATCGTAAATCCGGTGTAGATAAATAATTTCTATTGAAGAGTATTAGATAAAAACAAATTAAATATTTGAAATTAAAGAAAGAATATTTGGTCATCACTATTTTGGAATTGTTTTTATATTTTGGTATTTAAAGAAAGAATCTTGTATTTCCATCAATGGAAATAAAGAGAGATAAAATTTGCTCTATATAAAGAAAGAATCCTAAGTATTTCCATCTAAGGGAAATTAATGAAGGGAAGAGAAATCTACTCTAATAAAAATAAAATTCAAAAAATTTCTATATTTTCTTTTTGGTATTATCAAGAGTATTTCCAACCATATTTATCAGTTGTGAAAACCAACTCGAATTGAACTGATTCAATTTCATCGGTTTAATTGGTTCAACCCCTTTGAAGTATTCTTAGCCCTACTAACAAATAATAGTCAGTCTCCACTTGGCTAAGCTTACTTGTGGCTGAACGACAATGTGTAAAGGCAAACGATATGCTACAGGAATGGGAATGGTGTCGTTTGTTTTTATTGCAACTAGGGTGTAAACGATGTAGCTCCTTTATGTTAAACTAGTAATAACCCACCATTAGTTTTGATTTGTTATATTAATTTGTTGTTTCAGTCTAAATTTTATTGAATAAAATAAAAAATTATATTTTAATTTATTGTTCGAGTCCTAAATTTAAAATTGAGATAAAAAAAAATATAAATTATATTACTATAATAAGAGATATATATTTAAATATAGTAATATAATATAATGATCATGTAAGGATTTTGCTTTTATTGGTTGAAGCAAAATAAAGATAGAGTTTTTGGTTCATAGCTAATCTTCCTATTTAAATCAATTCTATTGATAAAATAATAAATTATATATTAAATATAGTAATAATATAATATCATTAAGGATTTTGATTTTATTGGTTGAACAAATAAAGAAAAGTTTTTGTCATACTAATTTCCTATTTAAATCTAAATTCTATTGGATAAAATAATAAATTATATTATATATTAAATAAGATATATATTAAGTATGATAAGAATACAATATCTTTAAGGATTTTAATTTTTTTGGTTGAAAAAATAAAATTAATTTAATTTTGATTGGTTATATTAATTTTCTATTTAAATGTAAATTTTTTAATTCATTGAAAACTTTTACGAACAGAAATAACATTTGGCTCACCAAATTGATGAAAACAGCTACAGTCGAGAGAATTCGAACTTGAAAGTTCTCATTTCTTACATAAGTGAGAAGACCAATCAGACCATCACTTGATTGACACTTAAATCTAAATTTTATTGGATAAACTAAAAGATTATATTATATACTTAATAAGGTATCTATTAAACAAGGTAATAATATAATATCTTGAAATATTTTAATTTTATTGGTTGAAAAGATAAAAATAGTTTAATTTGGATTGATTATATTATATTCCTATTTAAATCTAAATTCCACTGAATAAATCTAAATTCAATTGGATAAACTAAGAAATCATATATTATACTTAATAAGATCTCTATTAAATATGGTAAAAATATAATATCTTTAATAATTTTAATTTTATCGTTGAAAGATACAAGTAATTTGATTTTGATTGGTTATATAATACATAAGGTACATACTAAATATGGATGATAAGAATATAATATTGTTTTATTATTACTTTTATTAAATCTTTAATTTGATCAGAATATTATTTTACAAAGAATAAATGTAATGTATTATATCTATTAAGAAATATATTATAAAAGCTATTGTTTGATATAAAATAGAAAATAAAACTCACTAGAAATATATATAAAAGATAAAACATTGAAAGAATTTTTTTTATCAAAAAAAGCAACCATAAAATTTATTATATGCTCACATACTTTAGCAAAAATAAAAAAATAAAAAATGCTAAAATTATAAACAATGCTCTAAAACAATAATTAATATATTAAATATTATAAGAGCTATCTATTTATAATATATAATATCTATAATACAAATTCAAAATGTAATGAGTTAATTCAAGCTAATCCTGACTTAAAGAAATTTTGTTATTTTAGTATTTTATAAAATATTTTTCTACTTTGTTAATGCTGATTGATTTTTAGTAATATAAATTATTCATGATATTATAATTTATAATAAAAAAATAATAAAAAATTATACATATATAAATTAAGTTAGTAAAAATTAACGAGTACAAATAATGTTGAAAAAAAAAATTAGTTGATTTAAAGTATTCAATCCATATCAATGGGCTAATGATTTTTGACCCAACCCAATTTAACAAATGCACGAACCTATGAGTCATAAATATGTTCGGTTAGGTACAAGTTAGACATGAATCCAAGTAGTGGTGACAATTCTCAGTTTTTAACTGAAAACCGAGCTAAACCGACTCATTTCTATCGGATTTGAATAATTCCTGTCCTAGCTGATAATTCCTCTATCAAGTAACAACACATCTTGAGCATCTCTGATCAAAGTACCTCAGCTCATGCAACTTCCGCCCTGGTCTTACCAGCGACAAAAGTGGCCACAAGTAATGAAAATTGCTTTCCAAGTTCTCATCTCAGCTATTTGAACTGTTGTCATTTGAAGGTTTGATTTTCACCTTTATTGTGATAATGCAAGTGCTAGGCTTCAATCATCCTTCTACTTGAGTAAACATAATAACGCCTCCTACCTGAGCAAACACAATAACATTGCCTTCAGTAAGAAATTCAGTCATCACAATTTTAAAATCCCATATAGAAACGAGCATTTTCAGGCTGAATGGGGATACTTCTAGTAGCATACTTCTGGAACAGACATTAATGCTCACAGTATGAAACACCAAATATAATACGAGAAAGAAAAGAAAAGAAAAGAATTTGAACACTTAATTAATTGAGGTGAATGGGGATACAATAGAATGTACGCATCACAAGATACCTGAATTTTCCTTTGCTGCAAGAATCTTGTTTTCGAATTGTTGAGCAACTTCAGTCATTCCTTGGGCCTTAAAGGCTCTGATCAAGGTTTCAAAAGTGATATTATTAGGCTTGCATTTCCTTTCCTCCATTGCCAGAAACAACTCAGTCATAGTTTCTATATCACCAGCCAGACCATAGGCACTGATGATGCAGTTAAAGAAAGGGGTATCTAATACCACATCGGAGTTCACTACCTGTCTCAAAATGGAATCAACCTTTGTCATAAGCCCAGCTTTGCTGTAAGCACGAACAAGAGAACAGTAGGTAATAGCATTAGGCTTCACTCCTTGGTGTTTCATTGTTTCGAAGTACTCATCCATCTTCTCAATATCACCAACCCTTCCAAATGCTTCAATAATAATATTATAAGTAACAATAGTTGGAGTGAAGAACCTTTCCTCCATAAATTTTAAGATAGACTTTATCTTCTTGTGCATGCCTGCTTTCCCATAAGAAGTCATCAGGATATTAAATGTCTGGATGTCTGGGTGTATTCCCATCAGCTGAAACTCAGAATACCACTTTTCCATCTTCTCAATCTGTCCACTATTACCATAGGCCCCAATGACAGAATTCAATGTGGAAGTATCTGGAATGGAGCTGCCACTTTCAACCATATCTGTCAATGAGTTCTCCATTTTTTCAAACATCTCAGCCTTCCCATATCCCTCGATAATAATGTTGAATGTAATGGTGTTGCATTCAACTCCCAGATAAGACATCTCAGCAAGAATTCTTCCAATCAGATCAAAACGATAGTGTTTAATACAACATTGTATAAGGACAGAATATGTATAAACATCTGGTCTGCAGTCAGAGACTGTCTTCATCTCATCAACAGTAGAAAATGCCTTGTCAAATTGCCCACTTTCTCCATAAGCACTTACAAGAGCAGTGTAAACTTCAACAGTGGGTTGGAGGCCTTCTGATTTCATGCTCCTAAAAAGCAAGCGAGCCTCCCAAGTTTGCTTGCATCTGCCAAGCATCATCAATAACTTTGTGTATGTTTTCCATCTTGGCTCATACCACAGTTGCTTACGAAGAAGCCCAAATATCTAACATAAGATGTACGTTGTCATTCGAAAAGTAGTTAGGGACTTGAAAATGTTTCAGAAGGCATTCATACGTTCTAAGATAAAATGTTGCAACTCATAAATTAAATGGCAGCAATCAACTTCTTAGAATTAGCAAGAAATTGCTAGATGCAGAAGTTAAATATAGCAATCACACAATAACCACGGAAAGTTCAACTCTTTTTTGGGTCGAATAATACATGTCATATTTTGATTTTTTTTTTTTTTTTTTTTTTTTTTTTTTTTTTTTTTTTTTTTTTTGGAAGTTGAAATATTATGGAAATCACAACATAACCACGGATAAAGTTCAACTCTTTTTGGGTTCGAATAATACAACATGTCATATTTTGATTTTGTTTTTTTTTTTTTTTTTTTTTTTTTTTTTTTTTTTTTTTTTTTTTTTTTTTTTTTTTTTTTTTTTTTTCTAGACTCCAATTTGGCGCTGTCTATATGTAGTAGCAAACACTGAGAAATGGAAAGAGAACCAGAAGCATGAAGATTTCCATAAGAAATATTGCATCACTGACCATAACCAGAAACCCATAACTAACACAAAAATTAATCAAGAAAAACTTCCAAAACACTTGAAAACACTGCGAATTGACCATCGAAGCATCTGAAATGAAGCATAATAAGAAAAGATCAGAAGCAAAGAGACAAATTAACCATCAAAACATTATAACCCACAATAAAAAGTGCTTACTAACCATCGATGTATTTTCGATGCAACTTACCTTTCTCTACATACTAATTCGAGCTTAACTTCTTTAATACAAACAAAGCAACAAAAGCAATAAAATTCCTTCTCCCAAAAAAAGAGGAAAAAAAAAAAAAAAAAAAAGAAAAAAAAAAAAAAAAACACCAAGCCAAGCAACTGAAAAACCACCAACCTTAAGAGCATATCTCCATTGATTCTCTCTTATTGCAACATCAAGAGCTTCCAAAACAGCTCTAGGCCAAAGCTTTTTATACTTCTGGGAGTGGGTTTTGTTGTCTATATTTTTTATAGCAGCATCTGTTCTCAAAAACCGAGATAATTCCTTCTCGCGTTTTCTCTGATAACCCTCATAGACCAAGTCAGGAAGCAATTTCGCTGACTGGACAGTGAGAAATGGTGCGTTTGATCGAAAGTTGGGTTCTTTGAGGATTTTTGTCGAATGGGTTGTGAGTGGTACCGAAATCGAATATGTCCAGCAAAGGTTTGTAAAGGAAAGAGTGTGCAATTGCATTGCAAAGGGTGGAGTGACAAATTAGAGGTTAGGGTTTGATTTCTGTGAGATGCCCAAGAGCTGATTCTAGAGGAAATAGAAAGAGGCGGGAGATACGTTCCTATGGTGGAGAATTTACCGTTAAATCCGTTTAATAATAACGACTTTATAACAACAATAATAATGAAAATCTATTTATTGGTTGCTCATTTTATGAAATAAATAATATCTAATGTCAATTTTCGTATCTTCCAAAGAATGGTTAGATTATATCTATTTAATTTCATAATAAATGAAAAGATCCTGTAATTAATCAGCAAAATCTATAATTATTTTCATGTTTAAATTATAATTCACCTCTTCTTTCCATTAATTTTGTAATTCAAAAGTTCAAAATTTATTGCTAAATCAATGAATTATTTCATATGAAATAAAAATTCATTCATTCAAGCAAAATTATAATTTTATTTTATTAAAAAATAAAATAAATTGTATTTTCAAATTAACTTAACACAAAAAATAAAAAAATTATTTAATGCCATAAATAGATGAGGCAAAGAGTACATTTTAAGAACTAGGCGAAGGTTCGAGCATTGCGCGGGTTGCTTTATTATTATTTTTTTAAAAGGATTGTTTTATTAATGTATATAAATTTATAATTTATAAATTGCATTTACTAATAAATTAACAAAGACAAAAAGATCTCTTAATTACAAAATAAAGTCCAAAAATTTAAATTAAGTGTGAACAATAAATATAGTCATACATATACAGTTTTAAAAATGAAAAACTATTTTAAGAATCTTGTTTAATGGTTTCTTTTAAAAATATAAAATCTAGAATATATATATAATAATGACCAAATTTTGCATTCAATGATCACTTCATTTTCATTTAACGGTTTGAGAAATTTAGCCAATCTTGTAAGTTTAGGTTTATACACCAATAAAATTAAATCATTTAACATCACCACAATAAAAAAAAAAACAATGTTGTAAACGCGAAAGTTTTTATTAGTATCAACCTAACATTTTATTTTCTGCTTGAAGCTATACTGAAAAATGGAAAAAAGTTAATATTAACATAAATTAATAAAGATAAATTGATGTTAAAACAACGGTACATATTAAGATTTAAAAAAAAAAAGAATAATCGCCAGTTTCAAAATCAAGTGGAACCATTTTAAGCATATAACTTCAATCATACACAATTGAATATCATTTCTGGGTAAGAACGATGACGAAAGTAAAAAGCTCTTCTTGAAAATGTATGATGCTAATAGATATTGAGTCCAATAAGGAGTATGAGGATTGATGCTTATCCGCTATAAGCAAAAATGTGTGAAATATACGCTAACCGATGCCTATACAAAAGAAAGAAAAAAAAATTCAACATATAACAAACTAACAAAAGAAAGAAAGCAAAGTAGTAACTATATAGGTCTACAATTAAAAACAAACTAACTATATATTTTATGCAAAAATAATTATCTTGTTCATTTAAGCCAATAACTATGATTATATATAGATAAGGACATAGGTATAAATTAAAAATTTTCAAAAGCTAAATTACCTTTTAAAAATTTTAAATTTTGAAAAAATGAAAGTCAAATACTGAATAAAATAGAATAGTTTTTGAATTAGATTAGATTCAAAATATATTGCTATATGTAAATATTAATTTTAAAATTTAAAAAAAGATTTTAATAAAAATTTTAAATTTTGAAAAAATGAAAGTCAAATACTGAATAAAATAGAATAGTTTTTGAATTAGATTAGATTCAAAATATATTGCTATATGTAAATATTAATTTTAAAATTTAAAAATATAATCATCCAATCAAAATATAGAAAAATAAAGAAAAAATTTTAAAAATTCCAATTAAAAATTTTCAAAAGCCAAATTATTTTTAAAAAATTTTAAATTTTAAAAAATAATCATATACCAAATAAAATAAAATATTTTTTAAATTAGATTAGATATCAAAATATATTGCCTTTATCTAAATATTAATTTTAAAATTAAAAAAATATAACCATCCAATCAAAATATAGAAAAATAAAGAAAAAAAATCCAAAAATTCCAATTAAAAATCAATTAAACAATTTTTCAAAAAGCCATTATTTTTAAAAAATTTTAAAATTTTGAAAAATGAAAATTGAAATACACAGATAAAATAAAATAATTTGTTAAATTAGATTAGATTACAAAATATATTGTATTATCTAAATATTAATTTTAAAAATTAAAAAAATATAACCATCCAATCAAACATATAATTTTAAAATTAAAAAAATATAACCATCCAATCAAAACATAAAAAAATAAAAAAATCCAAAAATTTCTAAAAAAAGATAAAATAGAATGCTTGAAGAATAGGGTGCCAACTCACATTTTTTTCTCCAGAATTATATATATAAATAGATGCCCCAACTTAATATTAGGCGCATTTTGCAAGAAGTAACGCGGTTATCGGAAGTTTTGCAATTTGCTTTGAGGTCCTCCATTTTCAAATTATTTATTATACTTTCTCTTGCAAAAAATAAAAAATGAAATAATTTCAAATTTGCAATATATGGAAATGGAACTATGAAAGGACTATTATTTTTTATTGGGCATAATAGAAATAATAAAACTAGCCTCGTAGCCCCCACCGGACCACCCACCGGCACCGCCGCCCTAAACTTACATGCTTTTTTCAAGAAGTAAGTGGTAATTAGAAGTTTTGCGTTGAAGCCCTTCATTTGGAATCTATTTATCAGATTTTCGTTTATAAATTAGGTTATTAAATATCTCCCTCATAATATTTAAGGTAAAATTGAAATTATTCACAAAGTTTGAGGTTTTTTTAATAATTTAGCCTAAATTAAGTACAAAGTCACAATATGCAAACTAATGGGTTTACCTAACAATCAAGCCAGCAAATATGGAAAATGTGAACAGGAAAAAAGTAAACAACGAAATAATTACAATAAATGTGAAAGGAAAGAGCGAAGCTTAGGTAGAAAAAGCTCCTACGTCCTATATATAAAGAAGTGGCTTCTGTTTTCCCTGACCAAAACATTAATTCTCTCTTCACATTTTCATGGCAGCTTACGTTTTTGACGTTTTTTAGCAATTCTTCCCTCTCTCTCTCTCTCTCTCTCTCTCTGTCTATCTTTTCCTTTCTTTCTTTCTTTCTTTCTTTCTCTGTTTGTTTTCCAAGAGAATAAAGATTCAAGAAAAGAAGATTTTCGTGAAGAGAAGGAGAATAGAGATTCTTTTCCTTTCCCTTGTGTTTCTTTTTCCAAGAAACTGAAGGAAAGGAAAGAATTTTTATTTTCTTGGAATAATATAGAGAGAGAAACGGAGATATGGGAAAGTATATGGAGATGTTGGATGCTGGGGTAAGAATAGTTGCAAGATTTCACTCTCATTGCCCTCAGACTGCTCGCATGTATTACCATCCTCCGGCGAACTCCGATGACCACCACAACAACCACCACCAACATGGAAGCACCACCAGCCTTAGCACTAATCCAAAAGCTACTATAAGGGTGGATGCAAAGGAGTTCATTTTTTATGCAGTCTAGCAAATTGAAGAGGAGGAGAAAAAATTAGATATGCAAAAAAGAAGAGAGGAAAAAAAAAAAAAGATTAATTTTTCAAATCTAGGTTTTGGGATTTTTGATTAATGAAATTCTTATTGTTGTCTAATCTCAAATGTGATCATAACTTAATCTCTTTTTTTTTTTTTTTTTTTTTTTTTTTACTTAATCTCCTTTTTTTTTTTTTTTTTTTTTTTTTTTTTTTTTTTTTTTTTTTTTTCTGTTATCATTATTATTATTCACATAAAAGTATGTCATATTTCCATGTCTTTCTTCTTCATATTTCTCTGTTGTTCAATAAGAATTCTTAATTATTTCAATTAATAATTAATTACATAAGGAAAATCTTAGGATGTGCAAATTAAGGCAATCTGAACTCAAATTGCCACAAACAATATTCTGTTCAGTAGTTGTAAAATTTTATTTTCCATTCAAAAATTAAGAATGAATATAATTAAGAGTTTTAATTTTCATTACTATTGTTATTTTCTTCTTTTGAAAGTTAGTCAAATGGTTTTGGATTTCATAATTATACCTAATAACTTTTGAATGGTTGAGATCTTCCATTTGGGGCTAAGAAAGAAAAGAAAATCTTGGTATGATTTTTCAGATTCTGTCGATTGTGGACCTTAAGTAGTTGAAACCCTCCTTCTCCCCACTACTGCCACGGAGTCCACAAAGTGTGTATGCGGTTGCGGATCTTTACATAAAAAAGGATTCGTTTTTTTTTTTTTTTTTTTTTTTTTTTTTTTTTTTCTTTTCCTTTTTTTTTTTTTTTTTTTTTCTTTTCCTTTGGCATTCACGTATCCCGTTCTTTTTTAAAAGATTATGACTTTCCTGAGTTCTGTTTTTTTGACAAAGTCTTGTGAAGGATGCACAAAGTAAATGCAAGACAAAGATGCTTAGGTAATGTTGAAAGTTGAAACCTAGGGAGTCGAGCTGAGCTCGGAGCTTGGCTCGAAATTTAGTAAGTCCAAAATTTTAACTTGAGTTTAATTTGAGGCTCGAATTTAATTAAAAAAATTTTGAATTTAAAGCTCAAATAAGCCTAAAATAATATATATATATATATATATACACACACAAATAAAAGCTTGGTAGTCTCAACGAGCTTTTGAACTAAATATTATTAAGCTCATATTTGGCTTATTTGCTAAGCAAGTCGACTCGAGCTTGAGTTCGATTTGAGCCAAGCTTTTTCAAACTTTGAACTTGAATAATTTACAAGCCCACTCAACTCATTTGCATAGCTAGTTCATTTACACCCTAGAAACCACAATTACATGAAAGCTTGAATAATTTGCGAGCCAGCGAGCTGGCTCATTTATATAGCTGGCTCGTTTGCACACCTAGAAACCACAATCACATAAGGTGAAATCCATTTGCATGATGAGATTTACCGCATCCATGTGAGAAATGATCTATACAGATGGATTTTAAGCAAGGATTATCTATTTGATAAAAACATTCTCTTCCATAGAATATGAATTAGAATTTGCAACGGTGCGAATCAAATACGAATTATGTCAACCCCATTTCTATTTTGCAACTAAAATACGAATATGAATTAGAGGTGAATCGATAAAAGCTGATTTAGGGAAATATTTGCTTTTATCTTATGATTACCAAAAATTATATATACCTAAGGCATTACCGTATGGCTTTACTAAGTTGCTAGAGACGATGATAAGTTCAAAAGGTTCACAACCGTCCAAGATCTATCACATGCATCAACATCAAAAATAAAATCAAGATGATCTCAATTTGCATTATTAGAGAATATTCCAGAACATTCACATGAAATGAATATAGTCCAACTAACTGAGCGACAAAGATGGCACCCGAGGACCAAATGGAAGTAAAAAAACAAATTGTCAATTCCTAAACTCATGGACAGTAGTAATCAGAGCTCAGAGGCAAGTTGAATCAGAAGAATAAAAAATAAATTCCAATGAGTCACATTCTAGCATATGACTCACAGACAAAAAAATGTTCATATATAAAAGATTGGGAACACAGAAATATAGACAAAAATGCTGGCTACAGCGACAATGTGAAATTTTAATAGCTTAAAATGGTTAAATAACATCGTTTACACTGGTTAATAAACACGCATTGAAACAGAAATCTAATGGAATATCATGCAAATAGCACCAAAAAAAAAAAGAAAAAAAGGAACAAACCGATGCTAGAAATTAAACGCGCAGGATCATTGCATAGAAGTTGCCTATCATTGTCATAGCAAGTATCGAATAACCAGGAAGGTTTAATAGTTAAAGCAGTAGGCTGCATAATTTGAATAAAAGCTTACTGACTCTCTGAATGTGGTTTCTGAGCCAAGAAGAAAAACATTGGGGTGAAAATCTCCCTCCTGAAAGAGACAGTAAAGCAATTCTGTCATTGATCTGAGAGAGAAGTATTAGCAAATTTCCATTGAATATGCAAAATATTTTAGAGTCATTTATTAATTTATTGGAGAGTACTATGGAAGCCTCTTATCTTGCTGCCAAAAAATGATCAATCATTCGTGTAAAGACTTGGTTGGTATAAATGAGTTCTACAAAATTTTGTAAAAATTTCATGTTCTCATGTTTGGTGTGAAAATATAATCATTTCACTCAAAACTAAATTTTATTTAATATGATATAATTGTACTAAATTTTATCATTTGTGAATGAATTCTATACTTCAAATTCATTTATGCCAAATAAGGAGTAAGACCATAGAACTAGGAGGATTTTGTTTACAGCCTTTGGCCTAGCTCATAAAAGCTTGGTGTGGAGTGATCCTAGCTGTCGATATCTATGCTATGTTGTGAACAAAACTAACTGAGAAAATAAAAGCAATACTTCCGGTGGAAGGCTTAAAAATATCATCAATTAGCAAACCCACATCCACACAAACAGAGACAGAGTACAAAGAAAAGAATCTAAAAACAAAGAAAATATGACCAATGGAAAACTCACCTTCCACCTTCAACTAATCCCTCTGCAGCTTTCTCCAGAAAATCTTGAACCCTTTGACTTCCCTTTGGAGCAAGTCCCACAAATTCTAGGGCCTTCACCTGCAAGGGGGAAAAATTACCAGTTAAATACCTGCAAGATTACAATTGCTGAGATTTGAGACAAATAAGAAGGAAGTATATGGTTCGTCAATTCCAAAAAAAAATATGGTTTAAACAAATGTTACTAGAACCAGGCAAAACTTTATGTCCTTACCATGTTTTTTGTGAAAAACCTCCCAAGAGCTGTTAATCGGAAGCTACTGAAAGAAAAGTGATTTTTGTCCAAGGGCAAGTACCATGGCACAGGTGAGCTTGTTGCAAGATCTTTTGACCAAATGACCTTCATGTGAAAGAAAATAAAATTACCATTACTTCTTTATAATTTATTTGATATTTTACACAAAGGGTCTCTTAATGCATGAGCTATTGCAGGTTCTCGAGAGGATCAGATGTAATGGCGAATGCAAGGTATGCTACTTCATGATTTTCTGTCTCAAGTACAAAGAAAACTTGATGAGATACGGAGAGCAGAGACATTTGTAACACACCTCAAAACCAGCTTTTTTGAGAGCTTCAATGCATTGAGCAGTTGACCTAATGTCTGGAAGGCCATCACCAATCTCAATTTCCGCCTTTACCAAATGAAAATTTCATCATATTAAAAATCATTTAGAAAGCAAATCTAAAAGGACAGTAGAAACAAGGGATATCTTTAATACATTTAAGATGCCTGACCTTAATTTTCTGATGTTCTTGGTTATTGGGATCAAAAGAATCAGTCATGCACCATTCATATGCAGCAAAACGTTGTCCAGGCTTCAATACTCTGTAAATCTGGCTGTAGCATCCATACTGTCAACAACATAACAAAAATTTAGAAGACAAGCATTTATACTCATTTAGAAAACTACGGGCAATAATTATAAGACTTTTGTTCTAAAAATGTTTTCAATAGACATACTGCATCTGGTGCATGGCAAGTAGCTTCAATCGCATAAACTGCATCAAAACTACTGTCGGGAAATGGCATTTTCATGAAGTCAGCCTGCATAATCAGGAAGCAGCAACAACAATGATTCACAATAAGGATTTCACCATATCTCAAAATATTTCATTTCATGACCATTTATAAAGTTTTAACTAATGAAAAAAATATTCACAAAGCAGCAAAGATAGTTATGGATCTTTGAAATCTGGGTCACCATGAAGAACTTGACTGAGAGTAGAACCAACCTTCACAAAATCACAGGTCTTGTCCACTCCTGCAATCCGATTCAGTTCCTGTGAAACAACATATGCAATAAATTCAAATCCACCTTAAAAAGTTACCAGTTAAAAATTCCAAAAACTACGACTGCACCATTGTTTATTAGCATATAAATGAAAGGATATGCATGTACCTTCCCTCTTGATATCTGATATTCATTGTTGTTAAGCCCTGTAACAGATGTCAAGCTGCAACAAAAATGACCATAGAAATTAATGATGCCAAAAGCCTCTTGTAAATGAAAGTTTCTTAAAAATTCTAGAGGAAATTATCCTTCTAAGTATGAATAATAGTAGGGAGCTGACAGAACAAGTAATAATAGCTTTGCAACTTCAAGGGAAGCTGTTTATTTGTTTAATCAGGTGCTACTGGTCACATGCCTACTTTTTTCCACTAAAATTGGTAACAAAAGAGACACTGTTGTTTTATAATCATAGTAACCTGATATCATGCTGGTATTCAATTACAAAGTAATATCCAAGTTGATGCACATAGCCGAATGCAGTTAAACTTGCTTTCAAGTTAATGATTTTATGTGGAACCTATTTTTAACTGTCAATATTAGAGAAAGGAAACTGTTTGCCCTCTGACCTGAATCGAGCAATTTCTCTCAGTGGTCCACCAATTCCACATCCTACATCCAAGACCTATACAAAAAGGAAAGGTCTAATCAACAAATCAATCCAATTGAATGGAGAAGGATCTATTTGTTGTCAATTCCTCGTGTTCCATAATAGGATATAAACCTTCTGTCCAGGTTTCAGACCAAGCTGCAAAGCAAGAAAGTGCTCATGTCTCTTGATGCTTTCTCGAAGAGACTCCCCTTTAACTCTGAAATAATAAGTACTTGCTTAGCTTCATAAGGTTGAACTAATGAAATAACTATCATGCAATTGAGCAATAAATGGAGAAGACCATTAAAAGTTACCTGTGTGCAAAATGGAAAGACTCCCCCCAGCCAAACTCATAAAAGCTAGTAACAAGGTCATAGTATTTATTAACCTGAAAGCCATAAGAGGCAACAGTTATGTGTTTACTTTATTGTTTGGAAAGGTCATCAAGGTTAGCACCAAAAAGAAAATCAACAGTTGTAATGTATGAACTTTTATCAGAGTTCTATCTGGAAGAAAATTTGTTTGTTTGAGCAGCAACCAGTACAAGGTATAGCATGAAAAAAAAAAAAATCAGGATGGTACATGCTATGAATTGGCCTCTGCTTTCAGGATGGCATAAATGCATAGGAATTAGGAAAGTTAGATCATCTTATCAAGAGATAAAAAGGGAAGTAAATAAAAGAAGGTTACATGCCTACGTCATCAACTGACTATTTAACATGTGGCAATCCAATGCAAAGATTCAAATCACATGATTGCATTGAGAATATAAAAATCAGAATCAAAATAAAAATAAAAATTCCAAAAATAACATAGCCAGCAGGAAATAAAATGCAGCTTACTGGAACTTAATTTATACATATAGGTCAGTTTAGGAGAGATTGTTAGCTAGATCTTCTTTACCATGTCAGTATAGTTGGCTTTTCTCTCTTCCTCAGCACCTCCATAATGGACATGATACTTCTCATATCTGAACCATTAAACAAGATTTTCATACAAATTGAATAGTTTTAAGAAAATTCAGGCACTGAAAACTTGAACTATCATCAAAGGCCACACAGGAAAATGCAGTAAGTTTACCATAAAATTCAGACCATGATCATTGATGCCATGCAGTTAAATGGTCATGAATGCATCTCACCAATTCATGATATACAAAATTTCATTTTCAATCCGAAAATTACTTAAACTTGTGCATAAGAACATTTCAACAGAATAATATGCCACCATTAAACTAAAATTACAGTCCTTAACAGAAACAACCGTTTGCCAATTTTGCCTTTTGCATTTCATTTTACATTTGACAGATCAACAGCTCTCAACAAAATTCTCATCGAAATTGAGTTAATAAGATAGGAAAAGAAATATCACATATGACAAGAGGAAAAAGAATATGTAAGTGCCAGAGTTTTTGTGGAGATATTTCTGAGAATTGCTATTTCAAAGCTTCAGTCAATCATGTAAAAGTTTCTTTTCTTTTCTTTTCTTTTTTTTTTTTTTATTTCATTTGCTATTACGAAATTTGATTTTTTTTTAAACAAATAACATCGACATATTTTTTGCCTTAATTTTTTTCTTAAAAAATCAGAGGCATATTAAGATTATTTTGAAGAGAAAATGAACTACTGAACTACCTGTTACACTATAGAAGTTAAAGGAGGGGGAAAATAAATAAAAGTCTAATTTTCCTTTTAAATATATGACACCAAATAACCCTGATTTTCTGTTTCACTGAAATAGAGTCTACCATCTATTTACCGCAATCCATAAAAAAGAAATAAAGCATTCAGTATTGCCAGCATTAAAGCCCCTAGCACATATGTTTTCTTCTGTAAATGTCTATTTTCCAAAAATAATAAATAAAAAAAAGGAAACTGGCTAACAAATTTTTCTTTAATGTTTTGGCATAAGTAAATGTAACCATCACTTTGTTCTTTGGCGCTAGATATAATATGAGTGAAATATCAAATACCCAAATAGACATTAAAATGCGATACCTCATTAGTATTATTAGATTAGGTAGATAAACACTCTACAATTTAGGTACATCGTGAAATCATTGTAAATGATGCGTCCAACATGCTAGGGACCATACTACACCTTTTGTATCAATGAGTCTTTTCAAGTATTTATTCCATTCCATCAGTTCCTCCACCATTCATTTGGAAATTTTAAATATATATATATATAATATATATAATATATATATATATATTTTCCCAAGTATTTAATTCCACACCATTCATATTCCGATGAAATGGAATAAATACTTGAAAAGAACTCATATATATATATATATATATATATATATATATAATATAATATATATATAAATAAATAAAATAAATAAATAAATTCTTTCCAATTATCACTGAAAGAGACATTTAAAGGTTTTGTTTTCAGGGAAAATTAAGCTTAATCTAGAAAACAAAAGAACTCCAGCTAGACATGAGAACACAAACTTCCCTAGATGCAATAGCGAAATCCGACTGTTGAAATATCACTGTATGAAGAAAAAAAAAACACATTTAATTCTATTCAAAGAGAATATGGAGATATCCAAGTATAATTAAGCAGAGAGCCATAGATTCAAGCATAATCCAGGAAAGAACTTCAAATCCTATTCCAGTTAGAGAGAGAGAGAGAGAGAGAGAGAAAAAAAAAGAAAAAAAGAAAAAGCAATTCAAACATCTTATTATAGAGCAATAACCAGAGTGATTCATGTTTCTGCCACATTCTAGAGAGAGAAAGAGACAGTTAAGTTTTTTAAGGAAAAAAAAATGAAACCCGATGCTGATTCTGATTCTAGAGAGAGAAAAACATAATGCAATACAGTTTGAAACTTCATGCTTTATCTTAGATATATAAAAATAGAAAAAGAGACTATACTTTTCGACGGCGGAGAGAACTTCGGTTTTCTCGATCTTTCCGCCGAGACCGGAAGCGAGATCGAATGCGCCGGCTTTCGACATCTTAGATATTGAAGAAACAGAATATTCACCGAGATCTAAAGGAAATAAGAGTACAAAAAAAAAATTAAGCAGAATTATCAGGTAATAGAAGTTCAAAATTCCAGTTCAGAAATCAACAGGAAACTAATTCCTGGAAAACAAGTCCTGAAAGGAATGTAGAATGTGAATGCAAAGACTTACATGAAAAGAAGAAGGAGAATCTTCAGCTAAGCTAAGAGAGAAGAGAGAAAGGGACTGGTCCTGTATTGTATGCTTGATGGAGGCTGGAGGCTCTCTCTTAAGAGGGAGAGAAAAATGTTATAGGACGACAGGTAAAAAAGCCTCGGAAACGGTTTTAAATAGTTTGGCAAAGACAGATGCAAGTGCAAAGGTCCCACCCATGTGGCATCCCAAATTTATATCTAAATCTATAAATTTTGATAATATTATATATTTTTATATACTAGTTACAATAGTTTTTTTTTTGTTATTTTTAATTTTTATATATAAAATATTAATTTGATGGGTGATTATTAAAATTTTTCAATTACCTAGTGAGTTCTTAATTGATTAAATTTTACAAGTTAGGTTGTATAATAGAAAAATTTTTGCAAATTAAAGTGTCCAGTAAATCCAATTTTATAAATCGAAGTACTTGATTAGTAAAAATAAAAGTTAAAAATACAATAAATTTTTTTATGTAAAGTACATTGGTGAATTATGCATTTAATTTTTTTGTTTTTCAACCAAAATAACGGGCTGAGTAGTCAATAGTTTTCTATAAAACGTTAAAAATTAAACTTTATAACGATTAACTTTTTATAAAATACTATCTTAATATATAAAAGTTAATTCAAATGCTATATTATCGGACACTTTACAAAATAGCAAATCAAAACACTAAAAGTAGCTATTTAAAAAATTATTGCCAAACGCAGTCAATCAAATGTGAAATTGATTTTACAAATCGAACCAAATACTTTGTTAGAAAATCAATATTTGTAAGTACAAATGCTAGTAATAATATTTATAAGTACAATTTTTTTTTTTTGAATTGGGATTAGATTAAACTTTACCTTTTGTAGAAATATTAAACTCTATTTAAAATAGAGATTCATTTGAATTTTAAATTGATTCTAATTTAATATATGATAATAATTCTAATTTAATATATGATAATAATGAATAATAATAATAATAATAAAATATATAATACATAATAATATAATAAATAAATTGATAGTATAAAATTTTCCTTAATAATAATAATTGATAGTAAAAATTTTCTAATAATATCACCTACCAGTTGGTCCAGTGGGATGAAGTGCTCGATCCGTGAAGCAATATCTAGGGTTCGAATTCTTCCATTATGAATGGAGAGAATTGGGTTTGAAGGGTCACCTCCATAATGAGTCTCTGCAGAACTCGAATCCGGATTAGTCGGCTGTATCCCGAGTGGTTTACCAAAAAAAAAAAAATCTAATAATAATACAATAATAGATTAGTATTCCATTTAAAATTTTGCTTAAAGCACACTAAAATATAATCTAATGGTAAGTACATTCGATCCGACACTAGATCCGGATTCTAAATCCAGTTTCTCAACCTAAAAAAAAAAAAAGTAGTTTTGCTTAGAAGGTTAAAATTCTTTTTAAGTAAAAAAAAAGAACAGCGTCTAAGATTGGTACAAACATAACAGGAACAGCGGTGGAGAGAGAAGGAGGGAAAAAAACAGGAAACGATAGCGTGGAAAGCAGAGCGTCAACGTTCGAAGTCATTGCCACGTACGAACTAGTTAGGTCCAGTAAAAGGTAAGGTAGAATAAGGCCTAGCGTGAGCGAGAGATCAGGTTGTACTAAGTTTCCAATTTAGTACATTGTTTGATGGCTAATAAATTTTATACATTTTTTAAACAAAATTTTTGAAATTTTTTTATTACAATTTTATAATTAAAAATATTTTAATAATTTTGTAATCAATTAATAAAAAATAAATTAGTTGAAAAATTTTTAGCAAAAAAAATGTAAAGAAAATATTTTCTAAAAGAAAAAAAAATAAAATGATTTTTTGCTTCAATCATGAAAAGAAAAATTACCATTATATTTTTATATTATATCGAAATTCGTCATATTGTCATAATTGTTTTTAGATATGCACTGCTTTCATTTTATTATTTGTTTCTATGAATAAAATAGTCTTCTATTCACTTTTTTTGTACGTTTCCAATAAAATAAATTGTAAAGACGAAAATATTATATCTAAGCCTTATGAATAAACAAGGTATTTTCATTTTTTTATAAGAAATTTTAATGAAAAAATAAAAAAAAGTGAATGGAAGAATTGAATAGTTGATGAATAGGGACTAAATAATATATTAAAAAAGATGAAATACATATTATGTATGCAAAATCATGGATTCTGGTTATGAAAAATGTAAGATTAAAATTAAATTGATATTTGAAACGGTTTTAGAACTATCGATTTCAATTTTATTCTAATTTAGAACTGAAATTGAATAATTATTTTCAAGCTTTTTAAAATTTTATTTTAGATTTATAGTTTGAATAAATAATAATAATTAGTTGTATATTTGAAAATACTAAAATAATTTAATAAAAAGTTTTGAAATTTATTTAAAACAAATTATAATAAAATAAATTAGGAGTTTCGATAAAAGGAATCAACCGGAACCAAACCATAAATATACACTTTTCAAACCATAACTGTTTAACGCCATGGTTTTGACCGATTTGGTTTCGATTTAAACCGAACAGTGAGGCATGCCTACCATAACGCAAAGTAGTCTAAAACGACGGCGTGGTCCAATCTCTTCCCCTTCGTACAATAGCCTACTTTTCAGTTCCAAATTTCAAACCTCCATTTTCGTCCCATTCTAAATCTCACGATCAGAGCTCCAATTCCAACTCTAGATTCTTTCATCTCTCTCTCTAGCATTAAACCAGTAAGTAAAGCCTAAACCCCAATTATCCTGCTCACTTTTTCTCTTTCCTCAGTGGCTTTGAATTGATCTTTTGTATATAATTTTGGATCTCTTATTGCTAATTATCTATAGTGTTTGTTATGGATAATAATATTAGTGAATTAGGTGGGTGATTGTATTGACAATTTGTTTTCTTCACGATTGAAAAAAAAAAAAAAAAAAAGGTTAAATTTTGCATCTTTATGCTTAAAAGGGTCTTTTTTTTTTTTTTTCTTTTTCTTTTTCCTTTTAATTTATCTCGAAGAAAGCATCAATTTTTTATTGAATATATATGGGTTCATTGATTGCAGCAGTTGAGCTCAAGAGTGGCTGATTGTTGTGTTATTTGGGAAAGAAGCTTGGTTGAACTAATTTGAAAGTCTATTTTATTGTGGAATGGATAAGGACAAGGACAATGACTATGATTTCACTTTTTGCAAGGTAAGTTGAATATAATGAACTGCTTCTCTTAACTTCATTTTATCTGATTTCAAGATCTGTTTTCATGAAATTGTGTTAATGCTGACATTTTTGGGCATTTAGGTGGATGTGCCTACTGCTCAAGATGGTTTTGAAGCAAAGAAGCTTGCCTCGAATATCAGAAGTATGGCTATAACAGATGATATTAGCAGTGGTGGTGTCCTTTGGAAAGAAAGATTGCCAAATAATGCTTCTTCCAAGGAGGAAGCTGTTGGATCTTTGTCTTTCAATGTTATTGATACGGCATCTCTAAAAAATTCTAGTGAATTGTCCAGACAAGCAGCATCTAAGGAAGTTGGAACTTCAGTTAAAAAGTCACAAGAAACGAAAATTTCTGCTAGGAAACCTGCAGCTCGAGCCAAGGTTCCCTTTGAAAAGGGATATAGCCAAATGGATTGGCTCAAGCTTACTCAAACTCATCCTGATCTTGCAGGTACTTAGTTACAGTTTTCTTGATAAAATTTCTGTCATTTTTACTTTTAGTTTTCCTATGCTCGTGTACTCTTTTTAATGGGTTACTTCATTCCTGGATGCTACTGATACTTCCAATGCATTTATAGTAGCAAACTTTGGTCTCTTTTTTTTTTTTTTTTTTTTTTTTTTTTTTTTTTTTCAATGCCATTTATAGTAAGACAAACTTTGGTCTCTTTTTTTTTTTTTTTTTTTTTTTTTATTTTTTTTATAATCCATTTTTTGTTTCCTGGATATATTGACATTGAGAGTCCATTTTAAGTTTTAAGTTTGGTTTCGTTTGAAATGTTCACATCTCATTCAGTCTTTATTGGGAACACTGAAGTATAGGCCTATTTGTCTTCAAATTTAGGTGTGAATGAATTTTTTTTTTTTTTTTTTTTTTTTTTTTTTTTTTTTATATCCATTTTTTGTTCCTGGATATTATGAACTTGAGAGTCATTTTAAGTTTAAGTTGGTTTCTTTGAAATGTCACAGATCTCATTCATGTCTGTTATTGGAACATGAAGTATAGGCTATTTTGTTTCAAATTTAGGCTGTGAATGAATCCAATAAAACATTATGTGGACACAAGTGCTTCTCTTCTTTATCTGTCAACTTGCATGGGTGTGCATACAGAGTGATGTTACATATTGAAATGTATCTTAAGGAGTTGAGCAGAAATTCGATATTTCAAAATCTTTTAACTTATGTGTTGTAGTTGTTGTAGTGCACCAACTATGAATTTGTCAAGTATACGGTTCAGAAGGTTCTTTCTGTATGTATGAAACAGCACCTTTTTGTGTAAATAGACAAATATGTATGTCTGGTTAAATTTTTAATAAATTATGCACCTTTCTTTTCCGTTTCAAAATTTTCAATGTGCTTTCTAATTCTTAGGAGCACAGGTCTGCTTTTTCTACTCTCCCCTGTGTTTGAATATGTTCACTGCTATGCTTAATGTTGTAAACTTGTGAACATTTGATTGATTATGGTGTCACGTGTGGGGGAATTGTCGTATTATTCAACTTTTCCTCCATGGCTCTAATTCTTTCTTTTTTGTTGTTGTCTTAAATTCCAGGATTGAAGGGACAGTCCAATAAAAGGCTTATTTCTATTAATGAAGTTAAACAACACCAGAGTGAAGGTTCCATGTGGACCGTTCTAAAAGGCCGTGTGTATAATTTGTCTCCATACATGAAGTTTCATCCTGGAGGTATGACATGATCTTATGCTGTATTGATTTGTGGTGTTTAACATTTTATCAAATGGGATTGTGATCCTTTCTGTCAATACTTCGTCATACATGTGTATGCTTTTGTTTATGGTCTTTAATGAGTTAGCTTAAATTTGTGTAGGCAATGAAAGTATGCATAATGTCAGCTATGCTAGAGTAAACCGGAAAATATAATTTAGTGGTAGAACCGTAGAGGCACCATTTATTCCAAAAGCTGTTAACAATGGTTTTAGACTTGTTTCATGATATAACCTGCATGCAGGTTTAATGGCTTGCTTTGATGGGTTCTTCTTTTTCAGGTGTTGATATGCTGATGAAGGCTGTGGGAAAAGATTGTACATCTTTATTCAGTATCCTTTTCTGGATTTACTTTTTGATGGTTATTGAATTTGAAGCTGTTTATTACCAGTAATTAACCTCAAGTCACATGCCAAAGGTTTTTCCAATGTCACGGTTTATATGCAGGACAAAAATGTTGGAGGATTAAAAGGGGAAAATATACATTTCATTTTGGATTGTCTTTAAAAATTTTATTTTTGAATTGGATGCTCAATAACACAGCAGTGATCTTTTGTCCCATCAACTAACTAGCATCAACAACTCAGCATCTACTCCCGCATTGTGCCCGAATGTCCGATCTTCTAGTTGTAGACATTTGATATTGAAATTTATTGCATAAATTGCAATCCTTAGCTTCATTTCAGATAAATATCATGCTTGGGTGAATGCAGAATTTTTACTGGAGAAGTGCCTTGTGGGTACTTTGGACGAGAGTCAGTGAAGACATTTACATTCCTATATTTCATAATTGGTTCTTTTCTCACCTTTTCCATACTAAGCAAACTGTCATCCATTATTTGCTTTTCTATAGTGTAAAGTTACAATGGCAGTGATATCTTTTTCTTTTCATCTTCTCTCTTTCTCCCATTTTCTTTTTTCTTTAGGGGGGCCAATTACATCATAAGGTCTGGCCATTGTCAATTCATGCACTTGATATTGATGACAAAGTTCAATGTGTTGTAGTAGATTGACAATTGAAATAAGAATCAGATGATGCATATCTATGAAATTTTTTTTATGCTATTGTTACAGTGGGAAAATATAAATTTATGCTCTGGATACCATTTTTGTTATATATGAAATGTGCGTTGTTTCTCATTAACAGAAAGAAGTAAGAAAATGACGTCTCTCTCATTCACTTAAAATCAAACCTTTAGGAAAATACATGTTTTAGATGGATACAAAAGCAAAGCATATGTCTCAAACGGTCAAATTTACAAAAAATTTTGGATCAAAAGACCGTTTTACAGACTCCCACTATAATTATAAAAGTTTGGCTGATAATAGAATTTAATATCTAAGCAATAGGGAAAACCCTAACTTGATCAAGTACAGGGCCACAAAGGGATCCAAAGTCATCAATCCTAGTATGGTAGTATGAGCTGTAGAATGTAATTCTTGTCCTGGCTGAAACTGCTTTGAACTTGAAACTGACAGTCTTGAACTTTCCCTTTCCTTGAGACTCAAATGGAACCTTAAAGGTGTCTTTAGCGGCGAATGCTTCGACCATCATCGATCCATGGCAGCCATTTTTTGCATCTCCTACAGAGAATGTGAGACCATAGACCTTGTTAGGAATTGTTCGAAGGATCTGGGCAATGGCACTTTCCCTTCCTGCAACAAGCTCAACTGCAGCAAGTCCGAAAGGAACATTGAAGTGCTTCGAATCGATGAACTTCACAGCTTTAAGCGATTCGATGATCCAACCAGGAAGTGGAGATGTGAGATCCAATTGTCTTGGAGGGAGAAGAACACCATTGGATGAGTTCACAAAGAGATGAGGACCTTCCTCGAATCCGGGATTCTTTACCAAGTTATCTGCAAGAGGTCATTTCAGAACCATGGAAATACCACAACAAATCAAGTCACTCAAAATAAATCATCAAATCAGAGTGTTGGTAATGAATTTACATCTAGTTGGCCTTGGAGGAAAGAGCTCTTTAATAGCAACAGCATCGATAAGTGGTCCACAAGCAGGGTCTTCTTGTACACCAGGATTATGAAATATCACTTTAGCAACAGTAGATTTGGCTATAAATCCCCAAGCATAAGTATCCCCACCATTACTACTATACAATGTCTGCAATGGCAAGTCTCCAGACAAAGGAGGGACAGAGACTCTCAAAACCTCTTCCTGTGCACAAGTTCTTGAAGCACCAAATGTCAGGGCATATAAAGATCCTGGCTTTACAGTTATTGTTTGAGAAATTGATGCATCATTTCCTAATCTCACAGCATGAACACCATGTGCCACTGCAAAATACATCCCACCAGGTTGTGGCCCAGCAGAAATGTATTCTACTCGTCCATTTATTTCCCAGCCAGGAAGTGCAGTTTTTCCTTTTAGTACTGTCTTGTTTATGTCGCTGGGTTTTGGTTTCTCCTCAAAGTTGCCATTGTTAAGAAATCCTAAAACAGAGAAGCAGGAGAAGTAAATATCAGAATACAATTAAGAATGTAGAAGCCAAAAAAAAAAAAAAAACCCCAGATCAGATTTTCCCTATAGCAAAACTGAAAAAGCAAAAAAACCCAACTCAAAAAAACAGATCTTTAGGCGGTAGAGATAGTGAGGTTTTGAACTTTAAAGGTGTGAACTTTACCTTCCCTATATTGAGCAGCAAAAACAGACAAATTGAAAAGCAAGAAGAGAGCAAGTAAAAGAGAAACCCTCATAGCCATTATTGAAAGGAAATGACTAGAATAGAAGCTCAGATGGAGAAGAGGAGACAGAGTTTGATTTGGAAGAGTAAGGGAGCTAGAACTGACTGATATTTATAATGAGAAAAAGGACAAATAGGGTGAAGTAAGTGAGAATGGGCTGGCTATTATAAAGAGAAAACAGAAAAGAGGAAGAGAAGCTTAGCTGAAATCACGTTTCACTACAATTAGGTCAATAGCTACTGCTCTGATTCATCTTTCTATTCAATCTCTATCTCTCTGTTTTCCTATAACCGACACCTTTTTTCCAAGCTCCATAATTCATGGGAGTGGCTCTTTTGTAATTTCAGCACTCTGTTTACACTTGACGTAGAACTGCACACGAGCGGTTACAATCTGACTCAACCCGATGGAGAGATTTGAAAATATAATAAATTAGATTAAAATAATTATTTTTTGAAAATTTTTAGAGTGAATAAGTAGTTCTAATATAACATATAATATTTATATATCAATACTTAACAAATAATAATAATAATAATAATAATAATAATAATAATTTGTGGTATATCAATAATATTTTCTTCTTTATCTATTTTGTTTCTTCTAAATGTCATCCCTGAAAAAAAAAAATTGGTCCTCCATTTTGGGAGAGTGCCCTTTAGGGTTGGTTGGAATTCTCTTTATGACCTATGTTATTTGGTTTGTTGCATTGCATCTAATCTAAAGCTTAACATCTTCTTAATAATTAAATGTGATTAAATTTATTCAACCTAGGCAGGTCAGATTCTGTTTTATGAAATAAATTATGTTAACCCCACCATTAATCCATGTGGGTCATAACGTTTAAGGTGTTTTGCTACTTTACTGTTGTTTCATTAAATCGTTATTAAATTCAAGAGTGCCTCATCTCTTGAATTACTCTTTATGAATATTTAATAAATTTTGTTCCCAATTTATTAGAAGTTAGAGGTGTCAAAAATGATAATTTCACTTTAACATGATTTGCCGAAAGAAAAATTAAACGGATTATGGTAAGTTTAAATGGTTTCATATAATAAACCAGTGATTCTTATGTTTTAAATGAGTTTAAACGTGTTGTGTCGTGGGTTGACTCGCGTAATTCGTTTAACCAGTTTAATTAAGGGTAAAATGGTAATTTCACATATAATAATATATCAAGGACTTGTATACAACTCATTTAATCAAACTAGTTGCATTTTTTTTTTTTATCTATTTATAATCCATTCGGTTAAACGGATTATGTATATCATGTTTGTATCACTCGTTTAATTTCCAATGTTGTGTTCTGTTTAAATATTTGATACAATTATTATATGGATCGTGTTCGTATTAACTCTAATCATATTGCATGTTTGGTGATTCATGTTGAACCTGACATGCCAATCCATTTTAATACTCCTAAATAGAAGTTAAATAGCCGAAATAATAAAATTATGAATTACATAATATGAATAGTTCTTCTTTTTAAATAATATTATCAATTTGATAAAACTTCTGATCGAAACAACTCGAACTCAAACTTCCAACTCCGTTCATTGAAATCATATTGTTGCCATTTGGATAATTATTAGTAGCTTTCAAAACCTGGGGACCAGTAGTCATTGATAAGCAGCATGTGCATCCCCTTATGTTTGATTAAAGCTTAAGAAAAATTAGATCATTTTGAATGAGACACCCAACACTATAATACATACATCTGCACATTAGTGGACCCCTTAGCAAGGTATATTATGTTAACCCACATGCACTTGTTGGGAAGAAGGATCCTATACACCCCACCTCCCCATTACAAAATTTGCAAAAATTCCCATTTTTAGATAGGGATGAAACAATGAGGTGGGATTTCCTTATTTTATATGGAACTCTCATGAATGGGGTCAAAAAAAAAATCTATTTTCTATTATTTGGAATAGAAATGAAGAGGACATCCCCCATATCCCCCTCTTGAGAATTTTCTATGTATATGCTAAATTTATTAGACAATGAACATGGAGAATATTTTGTTTTATGAAAGAAAATTAGGGTATATGAATGGTTATTTTGGTTCAAATTTGAATCAAATAGAAACAAATGGATAAATTAAAAATTTTGAAATAAAAGCTAATCAAACTAAAGAGTGTAGAACATTAAATTGAATCAAACTAATCTAATTAGTTTTTAATCATTTTTTACGGTTTTGAGCTATGTAAAAATTAAACTAAATCGAAAAAGAATTTAGTTTGTATAAATCAAATTTTATATTAAAAACTGAACCAACTAGTGTGGTTTGATAATTTAACGGAAGTACGCTCAGACGTGAATTAAGTAATATGGAATAGTGCTTTCATTTATAATAATTTTTTTTTTTTGTACTATAGGTTTTTCTAGCCTGTTTAGCTTATTGGACTAAGTGTAATCTTGTTTGCGTCACATCAGCCCATAAGATGGAAGCGTTTTTTTCTTCATTTATGATAATCAATCATACCTCTTATTTAAGGAATCTGACTCCTTTCTACTCAAATTAACCCCGTTAATATACTAAAATACTTTCAATTACAATTACGCAAACTCTTCAAACAAATCCTTAATTATCCAATCTATATGTATTTGTTTAAACATTTAAATCTTAAACTTTTATTGAGATTGAGGTTATGGGGTCCAATCCATTTGATGTGAACTATCCTTCTTTTGTTTTGTACTTGAGTTGCTTCCAAAATCTTAGTAGTATGAGGCAAGAATTAGTGGTCAAGATTTGCAATTATAAACTTAATTGTCATTATTACGAAACAATACCTTCTTAACCTCAAATTGGTCTTTTCTAGCTATATTTTAGCCTTGACATAAGCTAAATTCCTTGGAACAAAAATTGGTACACACGAATTTTGGCAGTGATTTTTGAATTATTGTGAGATTACCCATGTGCCAATGGGCCCAAAGGTTGAAACCTTTGATGAGTGGTTAGGATTTAGCTGATGAATAGGTGAAAACAATGGGCCCACAACAATTGGGCAATTTCTGATTTCATATCCAAGTCCAGTGTTCCCAACTATCCTTTTTTTTTTTAATTCTTGAATTGTTTTGTTTCTATACATATATAAATTAATTTCAAATGTTTATTTAAAAAAAAAAAAATTGATCATATAATGTGGAGAGTGGTGTGCAATTTTTCTCTTCTTTCATCTTTTTGTTGTGACTTCAATTTCAATTGCTAATCAAGAAGAGTGCTTTATACTCTTAAAAACTTTTATCCCTTTCGGTAAATCTTTTAAGGTGAAATGATTATAATTTAAAATTTTAAAAGCATATATTGGTTCGATTCTCCTTAGTGGTATAAAAATATCTTGATTGAACAAAATTTGGAAAATAAAAAGTTCCATTTCTTTTTTTTGATTTAACCATTAGATAATATGCTGCACACCGAAACATAATCTAGTGGTAAGTGCATATATGATCTAGTAATAGATCTGGATTTGAATACTCTCTATCCCAATACTCAAAAAAAAAAAAAAAAAGATAATATCATAGGATAATTTTTATATATCCATACGAATTTCATTTTTCAAGTCCAATTAAATTCAGATTATTCATGCCAAGATTAAAAGATTGATAAATAATTAAAAATTCTCATTTATAGTCAGACTCTTCTTTCACTTCTAAATGTGAAATAATTTTAATAATTTTGAGTAACTGTGTTCAATTTTTTTTATTGAAAGATTTCATATTCGAATTCGAAAAAAAGATAAGGTACGGGTTTGGATACAGCTTCTGGTCATTGATGTTTAAATCCGGTTGGTTCCAAACCCATTTGAACCGGCATAAAGACGGGCTGGATTTGAGCCCAACCCAAGCCCATCCACACTTGAACAGTTCCTAGTGCTTGCTTTATTTTCAAGAATCAAAGCTAACAAAATATTCATAATAAAAATATTTCACGTTAATCAATTAAATTTTATTTCTTTCTAAAAACATATGTTGAATGAGTGATAGCAGAAAAATAAAAAACATACGTATTCTTAATTAAATGAAATCTAAATACACCCCCAAATACGTATATGTCCCTTTTTTATCATCATCCAGAATTCTCAGTCACAGATTCTGGTTTGGGAGACCCTACAAAAGAAAATTAAAATTAAATAAAAGATTATGAAACATATCATGTATATAATTTTCTGTTAAAAGATTTAGCACATTGAAATAGAATTTCTTACCTTCTCCTTCCTTTGATTTTTGAATCTCCTCTCGAATTTCAGACAGTTCTTGCTTAACTGAATCAACTGTAGATTGAACTATATCCTTAAACTTATCCTCAACCTCAAGTAAGCCACGCAGGTGTTCTGGATAATTTTCTTTACAATTGTCTGATATTGAACATTCTAATTGTCGTTTTACTAGCTCCCTAACTTCGTTTAGTGGTGTTTTCTTCACGTATGTCTCAAAATCATAACTCAGAGTTTCTGAATGATATGTGCAATCCTCAGGCTGTCAAAGACACAAGGAATTAAAATATTGGATAATATAATATAATTAACCATATTACACGTTTAGATTGTGATCGGTAATAGTTTTTTAAGTAGTTTTTAGTGATTTAATTGGTTTTTAGAGATTAAAACAGTGTGTCATAAAAAGTTAATCCTATAAGCGGTGGCACAGGAAGTGATGGAACATCCACATCTGGTGGTAGTAGAAGCGGTGGCACAGGAAGCGGTGGAACATCCACTGGTGGCACAGGAAGTGGTGGAACAACCTACTTTTTATGTTTTTTTTTCTTCTCGCTCCTAATTTTGTATTTGTTTTTACTAAATTGAGATCTATTTTCTTTTAATAGATCTGTTTTTTCTTTGTTTTTTGTTATTATTAATTTGTCTCCGTATTTGGAGTTCTTTTGTCCCTTCTTTCGTGAGGATTTAGTTCCTTCTTTGTGATGATATTTGATTTTATTTGATTAGAGAATTTAGATCTTATTTTACTAGTTTGTATCTTCAATTAATGGAGTCTGGTAGTGCGACTTCTTCCTATATTGTTGCTATTAAGACATAGTGGCATGAACTCATCTGTGTACATCATATGCAACAAGTTTTTGGAAAAACAATTCAAGCATAGAAGATTCGGAGAAGTTATTTTATTGTTCAAATCAATTAAAGGACCAGTTGCTACTATGAAAATTTATATTGGTCAAGGTCATCTTTAAGCAGAAAAATCCAATATTGCTTATTTTAATTTTAATTTTATTATTTAAAAGAATAACAATAATTCATTTGATTTATTAAAGGATC